TAAAACTATAAATATATTTTCTTTGAAAATATAAAAAAAATGAAAAGCAATTGAAAAACATGGTTTATAATCGTTAATGAACTGCAATGGAACGCCGTTAATGTCCTACATGCTGCTTGTATACATACAATTTTTAAGTTCTATTTTCTACTTTTTTTAATAGTTTTTTTCTAATTCAATTTTGAAATTTTTATAAAAAATGTATATGTATAACTATTTTTTATTGAATTAAATTTTTAGAAAACTTATTGCAAAAAAAATAATTGCCGTGTAACTTAGCTCGAAACCGCGACCCCACAGCCCATATTATTTACAAAAGCAATTAATTGCGTTTTAACTTTTTTTCTAGAGGTACGGTCTTATTTATGATTTCCTACAATTTGATTCAAATGATTCGACCTGATCTAAAAGTTTTGTTACAGCCAATGAATTTTTTACAGTATTTTCTGTGTTCAGTGACGCTGCTGAGAGGACTTTAGGCTTAGCTCAGAAGTATCTAGGACAAGTAAAGACTGAGGAAAATTTCCAAAGCCCCTTTCCCGGTTAATCAGCATGCTCGTAGAGCAATGGAGTTATTTGCCAATAAATAAAAAAATATAAAACAGGCATAACCTTTTTTACTCTTTTCCCATGTTGGCTTTACATAAAATTTGTCTGTTCTTTCAACTGATTTTTTCAGAACAAAATTTGTGTTTTTAAATGGTAGATAAATTTTAAAAACCTAAAGGGGAAAACGGCTCTTAATCTTTTAACTTAACTGCTTCTGCCAGTATGAATCTGGGGGTCTTCTCTGTATTGCGATGCAAAGCTCAATGCGATTCAAAAGGCGGAACGGACTAATACAAATTCATAGTGCCAAGTTTTCGTATCTACACCTCTTGCATTACTGGCCGTCGTCGCCCGTATTTGAAATTTCCGGTTTTTTGAAGTAAATAAAAAAGCAACAAAAATACCAGCATACAAATGGGGGACCTTAACCTTTACGCCGCCTCCATGGACTTTATGAGAAGCTTTTTATGGCAGAAGTATTTACACTAAATATGTACACCCGGAGGTTTGCCATTGCTTACCGAGGGGCGATCACGGTTAGAAAAAACCTTTTCTAATTTAGACGCTACTCGCAGCCGATATCGAACCCAGGTCCTACGGAGTGGTAGGTAGTATGCACTTCAAATCACTCAGCCAAAGCAGCATTACTATGTATGTATATATAACCCACTTAAACACAAATGTATTATTTAATGTATGTATGTAAATATATTTCTTCACATCTGCACGAATTCCATTATTGTTATTAAAACTGTAATTATAATGTTTGGTAACTTTGTTGCCTGCACTTAATTGGCCCACTGAGCGGTTCCTTTTAGTAATCATACATACATATTTTCCTCTGACTTTTTACTACGGTACAACATGGCGTATGCGTGACTTTTAGAAGCGCATTTTACTTTACAACTTTGGCGTTGGCAATTCATGTGAATGGTCATATGTATAATAGTACGCGCCCACTTTGCATACCGTGCGCTATCTGTGACTTGAATCTTGTTCGGCAACTAAATAAGTGCTCACTTCGCTGCCATTGGTCATTTGCCTACCTACACACACATGTATGTATGTACATATGGTTGATTTTATGAGCTGTGAAATGAAAACGCCTTAACGGAACAATGTGTATTGGCGACTTTAGTCGGAAATAGTGGCAGTTAGACTTCCGAGTTTTGACATGTTAAACGACGCTTTTGACCAACCAAGCGGGCTATTTCCTCAAAAATGAAGCAACACCATTTTTTTCTTTCAAAGTAAGGCAAGAATGCTTTATGACTATGGAAGTTACCGTTCTTTTTGTTTTTTTTTTTTCAATGCAAAAATTATAAATTCCCCTCTTGTTGTGTACTTACTTGGGCACTTAATAAATGCGTGGACTCGCAACATATATGTACATACATATACATAATATTTCAATGCAGCATAACTGAATACATACTCAAACTTTGTATGCGCATACGGATGTTATATTATTAATTATTTGCCAAGACAATTGGGCATTTTACAATTTTAGCGCAATTTAATATTTACTGGAACAGCTAATGCTCATGGTGACAAGTATTTTGAATACGTTTGCATATACAGTGAGTATCAATAATAATTACAATTATATCTACTAGTGTTCGCCCAGCGGTTGATATTCAACCTTTTAAATTAAGGGGAGCTGAGGTGGGCTGAGCTGAGCCGAGTTGAGTTAATTGAGCTGAATTGAGGTGAAATGCGTTTCACACCATAGCAGAATATAACATAAAATAACATTACAACACCACATAACACAACTCAATACAACATAATATAACTTAACATAACATAACTTAACGTTATAACTTAACATAACATAAGATAACATAACATAACATGACATAACATAAGATAACATAAGATAACATAACATAACATATTATAAAATAACATAACATAACATAACATTACGTAACATAGCAAAACATAACGTTACATAACACAACATAACATAACATAAAATAACTTAACATGTCATTCTTCAATTGTATCTCTTTCTTTTTCTGTCTTTGTCTCTACCTTTATCTATAGATATTATTTTTTATATCTTTATCTTTTAATTTTTATATACAGTATTGGACATATCTATAGCACCCCTCTTTCAAAGCGATATTGTTTGCCACTTATGTTTAGTTATTTGTTTTTAAGAATTTTCAATTAAAACACAGTTAATTCTCTAACAAAACCCATATAAACCCATGTTTTAAACTTTTTAAAAGACCGCAAAAAAGCGCAACAAACTTTCCCTTAAATTTCAAACTTTTTTCTCAGAAGCTCTAGAATTTTTTTGAGTACACAGTTTTATAGCGCATTCAATTTTAGTCCAATAATGTGCAAGTTTCAAGTCGCTAAAGATTACCGTTGATTTTTTAGAATTTTATTTGTCTCATTTGCTTCCATATAACGACTAAACACAAATTATTTTTATATGGCAGAAACCCGCAACATCCTCGGCGAAAAAAAATCTTGAAACTTGCACATTATTAGACTAAAATCGAATGGGCTATAAAACTGTGTATTCAAAAAAATTCTACCGCTTCTGAGAAAAAAGTTTGAAATTTGGGTGAAAATTTGTTGCACTTTTTTGCGGACTTTTAAAAAGTTTTAAACTTATGTTTATGTGAGTTTTGTCAGAGAATGAACTGTATTTTAATTGAAAATTCTTAAAAATAAATAAATAAACATGAGTGGCAAACAATATGACTTTGAAATGGGGGTGCTATTTTATTGGCCAATACTGTATATCATTTCCTTGACTTTTAACCAGATCTTTATCTTCGATCTTTTCTCCATCTACATATTCACCCACATCTTTGCGATTACATATCGTCGCTCCCAACGAAGAGTAGCACATCTCAAATTACCGTGGAAGACTAGCACATTTCACTTTTCGCGTCGAAGACTAGCACATTTCATTATTCGCGTCGAAAAGTAGCACATTTCAGATTTTCGCGTGGAAGACTAGCACATTTCACTATTCGCGTGGAAGAGTAGCACATTTCAGAATTTTGCGTGGAAGAGTAGCACATTTCAGATTTTTGCGTGGAAGACTAGCACATTTAAGATTTTTGCGTGGAAGAGTAGCACATTTCAGATACTCGCGTAGAAGAATAGCGAATTCATATAAAGTGGTACTAGCAGCCGTACAAAAACCAAACATACGTGTATGTAATAATTATTTCTCCTCGACTAAGCTGAGAGTTTAATGTTGTGTATGGAGCTTTTCGGTATTTTATTACAACAAGAATAAACGTTTATTTTCCTCCTACTCGTTTGGACGCATATTCGCGTCTTCCTCAGGGAATCTATTTATAAATACGAGAAACATATATGTGCATTAGGGTGGTCCAAAAATGCATGTGAAAAAGTAAAGTCGGAATTTTTATGCTCTCACCCCCCAAGATTGTTCTATACCGAAAAAATATATCCCTATTTTTTATTTTGAAATCAAAAAATAGTTAGAGGTCGCTCAAAGCGCCCAAAGTTTCCCATGTACATATTTTATATGGGGAAAAACACTTTTGGTAGAAATGGTATATAATTCAAAAAAACTATTTTTCTATCGGAAAACTTTTTTCAGCTGCAGGATTCCCAATAATAATACCCAATTGTTTATTTAACCTTTTTTCATCGCAACTATCATTTGTAGGTCCGCCTAAAACCCCGAAAAATGCAATGGGGGACAAATAAAAAATCGTTAGTATTAAAAAATTGTTTAATAAATAATTGCGTATTATTATTGAAAGTCTCCTGAAAATAACCAGAGTTTTCTGATCGAAAAATATTGATTTTCAAAAATTCTATACCATTTCTACGAAAAGTTGTTTTTTCCCATACAAAAATACATGGAAAACTTTGAGCGCTTTGAACGACCACTAAATATTTTTTGATTTAAAAAAAAATATGGGTACACTTTTCTATATACAACAATCCTAGGGAGTGAGAGCATTACAATTCCGACTACTGTTTTTGGACCACCCTAATGTACATGCAGTCATATCAAAAGCACCTCATTTCAAAGTGATATTGTTTTCCACTTATTTTTATTTACTTATTTTTAAGAATTTTCATTAAAATAAAGTTCATTCTCTGAAGAAGTCCATATAAACCCATGATTCAATAATAGAAAGGTTTTGTAATAAAACAGTCTTCTCGCTCCCACACATAAAATCGGCTCCTTTACTTGTGCATAATGTTGCTTACTCTAGAGTTTCTAGTGATATTAGTAGTAAAACCAAAAATTCTTCATACTAAATA